GGTGACATCTGGTGGCTCCGCTAAACCCCGTTCGGGGTCGCTTGCGCGGCAAGGTCCATTGGGGCATGGCGGGATCCTCAATTTCCGACCGTTTGGCCGAGAAAGAGGCTCCCGCCTGCTGCGCCCCGGGTCAGAGCCCCCCATCTGGGGCTCGTCTGGGTCTCCGCTCGTGCGGATTCCCCCCTTAACCGCGGGCGGGTGAGACGCCCTCGGGAGCGCCCCGAGGATGCGTCCGCCATTCGCGGAAGCCAGACCGGAAGCCTGCTCCCTGCAGTCTTGAGTCAGGAAGTTCTGCCACTGCTTTTCCTGGAAGCTGGGGCAGTGGAGGAGCATTTCCTCTCCTCCAACCTGCTTGTCCACACCTTGGACTTCTCTAGCAGCCCCAGAGCACGCTGGAGGTGAAAGAAAGAACCAGCTGGGGAGGTGCAAAGCGGCTTGGCTATGACGGAAGCTGCCCACTGTGGCTCTGCAAGAGAGCCAGACTCTTCATTAAAAAAAATTTTTTGGGGGGGAAGCCTGGGTGATAAGCCAGGGGGCCTGGCCCAGAGATGCCCCATGGTAGCTACAGGCCTGCTCCTGAACATGACAACTATCCCATCATATACCCTTTGTCTTTGTCTTGGCAATGGGGAACAAGACAATAATCTCAATGGTTTGGATTTGGACCAAATGCTGGCTGAGGTTTCCTGCAACTGAAATTGAATTAAATCACAGAAGACAATACAGGGCACATGGAGATGTGTGGAAAGATAAAAAGTAAAAAAGGACTCCTATATCAAAACATGAACTTACCCTATCAGAGACTGTTGATACAACCAGGGCATTTGGCACTAGAATGGCAGTTTTAGTTTTCTTTAATAAGGTTACTGAGGGCACAGGTATAGTAATCTGAAATGAGATCAAGTCAGTCATTTGAGTGTGAAAACAACAGCTAACAATCCACAATGCAGTATCTGCTCCAGGGAAGAACCTTCCATAGAAATTTTCAGACAAAACCAAACCATCTATTTTTACATTCAGGCTCTGGTATAAGTGCAAATGTATCAGCCATACTGTGTTATGACAAAGATGATGCTGTTTCTCTAATAACTGTGCATCATCCCTATCCATATTAAATAAAAATTAGGCATGACCTTTCTGAATCCAAGCTTTCATAAGACAAGGACTTTACTAACCTTAGTGTCTTTGCCAAAGACCTTAGAATGGAAACAAATCCAGTTTTCTGATATGAATAGCTTCCCTTGGTACACAATTTCTTTCTGCAAGGCACAGGTGAAGCCTACAAAGCAATCATGCATGCCATGTTATTAGACTTGCATTTGCACAAGATAACTATGCAATATTAATTGCTATATGAAAAATCCTAAGTATAGACTCTATTACTCACAGGTAAACATAAAATTTTGCAAAATCCATCTTGTGTCGGATTATGTTCAGGATGCCTCATAACTTAACCTTTGGTATTTAGTAAAAGCTGCCCAGCAGCGAACAGCCAGTGGATTGTTACAAAAGTAACCTGAAATTATATTTTGGCCATGAACTAAAACAGTCCATCAACAGCTGAATATCAGAACCAAGAATAAAATGGCAGAAAACCTTTCATAGATAGAATAACCAGCAATAGAAGTTGTTGCATAAAACTTGTAAGAAAGGCCAGTGTGAGAGGAAAAAAGAACACTGCATGTCACCAGGGGTCATTTCTTGCAGGAGCGCACAGGAGCAGAGCTCCGGTAGTAAAGAGCCCAGGGGGCGGGCATATGCAACAAGCCTCCCCTTGCTCCCAGCAGCCCTCAGTCAGAGCAAGAAGCAGCCAGGTAAGTTGCAGAGCTTCCCCCCGTCCAAAACAGTCCAGTGGCATCTTTAAGACCAAGTTTTATTCAGGTACAAGCTCTCCCTCCTCTGCGAGGACAGATCTGCATGTCCCTCCCCCCCTAATAGCTAGCAATCCAAAACAGTTCAGTGGAACCTGAGCAGTGGGTGCTGCCTTCTGACACACTTCCGGTGATGTCAGGGAGTATGCCATATGCAAATAAGTTATGCTAATGAGTTATGCTAATGAACTCCTGCACCTCTTTGTCTACGAAATGACCCCTGTATGTCACCCAACCCAAATAACAAAAATAGATAGATATATAGGATTCAGCTTACTTTGTCTCAAGGGCTCATCGATTGGGACATCCAGAAACAACTTGTGAAAGTGAGCATTGGACTTAAACTAGGGAAAACAAACATGTGAATTAATTTCAGCTAGGGTTGACAAATCTGAAATTCTTACCGGCGGGGGATCGTCCGGCTGGTCCTGGAGCTGCTGGTCGATGCGTGCGCGCGCCGCCAGGACGTCACCCGGAAGTGACTCTTTGTTTTCCCCTCAAACGGCGTGGCTCCGCCCCCAGCGTGCGACGTCACTTCCGGGTGACGCGCACGCGGGGGTGGGGTTTCCCCCGGGCCCCAATTCCGGTGCGCCGGGAATCGGGGCTCCGAAACGGGGGATTCCCCGCCCCCCGGCTGCATTTGGCAGCCCTAATTTCAGCTATTGCTATGCTAACATTACTGTTCCCTCCAGATATTTTTGCTTAGCATGCAAAGATAATGATGGCTAGTCATAATAACAGACATCTTCCCCAATCCTTTTATCGCACTGAAACTATAACAGTATGACGAACATACTTTCCCGGATAAACCAATTTTCTTCTCACCAGGGGTCATTTCCTGCAGGAGCGCACAGGAGCGGAGCTCCGGCAGTAAAGAACCCAGGGGGCGGGCGCATGCAACAAGCCCCACCCCCTGCTCCCAGCAGCCCTCAGCCAGAGCAAGAAGCGGCCAGGTAAATTGCAGAGCCCCCCCGGTCCAAAACAGTCGAGTGGCACCTTTAAGACCAAGTTTTATTCAGGTACAATCTCTCCCTCCTCTGCGAGGACAGATCTGCATGTTCCCCCCCTCCAGCAATCCAAAACAGTCCAGTGGAGCCTGAACAGTGGGTGTTACCTTCTGACACACTTCGGGGGATGTCAGGGGGTGTGGCATATGCAAATAAGTCATTCTAATGAGTTATGCTAATGAGCTCCTGCACCTCTTTTTCTACGAAATGACCCCTGCTTCTCACTATTCAGAACACCAAGGCATGGGATGCATATGGATGCACTAACTGTGGTGCATCATTAACAACTACAGGTAGAGTCGGTGGGGTTGGGGGTAGTTTGAAGAGAAGGAAAGGACCTTGCTGCCCCTTCTGGATCCTGGTCCCCCCCCCCAGCTCCACAGAATAGTGGAAAGGAAGGTGTGCCGTCAGTACTGCCCTGAATTCCCATCTTTACTGCATGCTCTATGCTTATACATGGGTTACCTGCCACATCTTACAACAATTTGACCTCCCCCCCAGATGTGGAAACTCCCCAGTACCTTATTTGAAGCATGCTTCTTCCTTTCTAGCTTTGAGTCATTCTTGCCATCTGCTGCCAAAATAGTATTATCCACAATTGTCTTTGACCTACAGTAAGGAAACACCTTATGCTTAGCACAGTTTCATCACTCTTCCCCTCCGCCCCCAGGAGCATTTCACTTTTAAATTTTTTCTTGGTATCATGCCAGCCCTTGAAAGTCAGAATCAGCATGCTTTTACATAATCAACTCATTACTGATGGTTTATTATTTCCTAAGAAGAAAACTGGTTGTATAGTTAGCTCTGGTATCAATATACTTATTTGGAAATTTTCTATTACTACTGGAAGCTCTGTGTAATGTATCCAGTTTGGACCGCGTGGCAGACTGGGGCTCCACACATGTAATGTATCCATCCCAGACCATGTGCACGGCCATTGCGCCACGTGGTCTGGCAAAGCCGTCGAGCTTCGCTCACAGGAACAATGGGACAAGCGGATCCTAGCTGCACCTATCAACAGGCTAGGCTTCCAGTTGAGAGCCTATGGAACTCTCGACCACTGTAAATATCCAATCACTAGTGTGTGGGTGTGCTTTGGGTGTGGGGTTGTTGTGCATATAAACCAGCCTGTGAGCTGGGCAATTTGTCTTTGTTCTGAGCTGAAATAAAGTATGAGAGCTGAAATCACTAGTAAGTCTCAGTACTTTTCAACACGGTCAAGCAAAACCTTCGAGCTTTGCTCCAGGAAACAATGGACTAAGCGGATCCTAGCCCACGCCTATCCGAGGGCTAGGTTCCCGGCCGAGAGCCTATGGAACTCTCGGCCACTGTAAATAGCCTATTGCGGTGTGGGAGCATGTGTTTTGGGTGGTGGTTTCACTGGAAATATAAGCTGGCCTGCGAGCTGGCTTAAGTTGCCTTGTTCCTGCTTAATAAACCTTATGAGCTGAATCACTTGTGATGTCTGAGGACTTTTCACTGGCGACAAAGCTTGGATTCATCCTCCCTTGAACAGAGACCATGAATTGAGCATTGCATTGAGTCTCCATGCCAAGATCACAGCACACCGCTTCGCCTCATGCCGCATCTCCGGTTGCAGCTCATCACACTGCTCCCAGCACTGAGCATCACACCACTGACCCAGAGAGCAGCCCCGCACCACTCCGCAACACCGATCGCTGCCTCTGTCCCCGAGCATCTCCTCCATGTGGATCCGGAAGATGGCTGCCGCATCCAAGAGCCTCCCTGCTTTTGACATCTCCCAACCATTGCAATGGGAAACCTGGCTGGAGGCCCTCAAGAGCCACTTCTCCATCCACGACGTCACCGATCCGGGTAAGAAGAAAGCGTACCTTTTCCGGCACTGTGGTATGGAGGCCCATCTTCTACTGAAGGACCTGATAGTGTCCCGGCTGACCAAAGATGAGTCTTACACCACTTTGGTCAAGGCGTTTTTGGACCACCTGGCTCCCAAACCATCAAAATTTGTGGAGCGGATGGACTTTTTTGCGAAAGTCCAGGGCCACGATGAGACTGCCTCTGATTTTCTCACGCCACACACCACTACAGGGTGCAGCCCGGCAGAGCTACTCCTAGGCCGCCGCCTGATGACCTGGCTGGACTGCCTGCACCCTGACCACGCCCCAGAAGAGGCACTGTTCACGGAGTCCCACGAGGTGGCCAGGGGATTCTTTCCTGAGGACCCCGTGTATGCCAGGAACCACGCACAGGGCCCAGCCTGGATTCTGGCTCGTGTGGTGAGGATCAAGGGGCCCAGAACTTATGAGGTCTCCAGTGAGGACGGGCAGATACAACACCGCCATATAGACCAGCTGCGCCGACAGACGCTGTTGCTGGACCCCGATGAATTGGAAACCCCTGACGCCCCGGAATCCACAGCACCACCCCAGCCGTTAACCCCGCCAGTGACACCTGCCACGGAGCCCATGCACTTCCCCTCTGGCGCCCCTGAAGACAACCTCCCAGCTACACATGGGACGCCGTCACTGGGTCCCACTATGCCACCCCCGGCCAGCACTCCCCTGCGTGCATCGGCAGCTGCTCCAGCCCCCGTCCCCGAGCTTCGCCACTCTAACTGCACCAGGAAAGCACCGGCACACCTCAAGGACTTTGTGGGTGTGTTGCAGACCAAGGGTGGAGGGGTGCAATGTATCAAATTCGGACTGGGGCTCCACGCAGTCAAGCGAAACCTTCGAGCTTCGCTCCAGGAAACAATGCATTAAGCAGATCCTAGCCCACGCCTATCTGAAGGCTAGGTTCCTGGCCGAGAGCCTATGGAACTCTCGACCACTATAAATAGCTTATTGCGGTGGGTGGGTGTGTTTTGGGTGGTGGTTTCACTGGGAATATAAACTGGCCTGCGAGCTGGCTTAAGTTGCCTTGTTCCTGCTTAATAAACCTTATGAGCTGAATCAGTTGTGATATCTGAGGACTTTTCACTCTGAATCACAGATAAACCCACTCACGGACTCACCAGAACAATGCATGGAAATTATGCATTTTAAAGGTACCCAAACTCTCAGTATTGCCTTTTGAGGAGGCTGCCGGGGGGGGGGGGGAGGCAAAAGATGAAGACATTTGCCTTTACTAGCACTGCATGGAATTCAGTCTGCTGTGTGTCTACAATTTACTGTTCCTAGACTCCTCATTAATTGGTGCTGGTTCCTCATCGCCATGCAGGCTAAGAGATTATGGAAATGGGCTGTATTCCGCCCAGGTGCTCAGCTGGCTACGTGCATTGTATAAGGAAGAGGAAACTTACCATGGAGTTTCAAACAATGCAAAGAAATGAGTTTGGTTGTAATGTAGATAGATAGGGGAAGCAAAGAGGAAACATAAATGAGACTGAGATATACAAGCTTGCATATTTATATAGACTCTGAGTACATTAAGAAATGTATGTCCAAAGCAGAAAGCAAGAATGGGGATGAGAGACACACATATATTGTATGCCCGGTATGGAATTCTCAGGGTACTTTGTAGATAAGGCAAACCGAAGAGCTGTCAGGTACTGAGATTTGAAGCCAACTCTGCTACAAAATGACTACCTGAAGGCTGTGAGAAACTGGCAGAACCCCAGTAGTAAGACCTTCATAGGGGAGGTGTGCATTTATGTATTTGTTTACTTCATTTATGCCCTGCCTTTCTCCTCAAAGGCGACCCAAAACAGCTTACATCGTTCTCCTCGCCTCCATTTTATCGTCACAACAACCCTGTGGTCGTAGGTTGAGTTCTGATCCTGATCCAGAAATCTGGATAAATCTGCTGAAGTAAATAAGCCTTTAAGATGACTAATGCCTGCAAAACATGTAGGATATTTTCTTGCAAGGTTTTTAGTAGCTGATGTTGCTGAAAAATTTCTGCCACCACCAGGATTCATTACCGTGAAGCTGCAGTTTTCTTATGGTCTTCAAGATATTCTGTATCAGTCGATGGTGTCTGTGTCACCACAGTAGACAGCTTTCCACTCTTTCTTTTTTCTTCTGTTCCATTTTCACTCTCTGAGCTGCAGGAAGTAACATTTTAATTGGTGCTAGCAAGGAATAAAACCATTGTGTAACTGTATTCTCGTTGCCAACCTCAATTTTGCACTTGCTTACCACACAGTGAAAGCTTTTTAAGGGGGGGGGGCAAACACAAAGCACATAGTTCCTTCAGTTGAAGCAGTTTCAGGTGTTATGCAATGTGGGGAGAACAGGAAGCACAACTGAGTTAGACTCTTTCGTGAAGCAGGAGGTTTGAAGCAGAGCTTTTGCAGCACCCAATCACCCTTGATGGATGAGCTCTGGATGCAGGGAGAGCTTTCACATCTCACAGTGGAGCAGGTGAAACAGAAAAAGAAATGTGTGAAGTTACTTAGGACACTAAAAAGCACCATAAAGTGTTTTCTCCTTCCCTTGAGCTGCATACTACATAAAATCAGATGCTCTATCAGTTTTACTGAGCCTTAAATTAAGCAGGGAACGGGATTGTGTAGCACTGCATATTTCAGACTTACTCCCATCACACAGTTGCCATTATCTAGGTAAGCCCTGGAGATCTCCTAGAATTACAACTCATCTACAGACAAAAGAGAGCAGTTCCCTTGGAGAAAATGGCTGCTTAGGAGAATGGACTCTGGCATTATTCCCAAACCCTGCCCTCTCCAGGCTCCACCGCCCAAATCTCCAGGAATCCCCAACCTAGAGTTGGCAACCTGATCTGCTAATTCATCTATAAATCCACAGTGTTTTTTCTTTCCTATACACAAAATCCATGAAAACAACCTACTGTCTTTTTTTTAAATTAAAAACAAAACAAAACCTGCCAGTTTGGTGTAGTGGTTAAGCCCTCCACTTGCACCTGCTGGATGACCTTGGGCAAGCCATAGTTCTGATAAGAGCTGTCCTTGAAAAAGAGCAGTTCCTGTCAGAGCTCTCTCAGCCCCACCTACCTCACAGGGTGTCTGTTGTGGGGAGGGGAAGGGAAAGGGGTTTGTAAGCTGCTCTGAGACTCCCTTGGGTAGTGAAGGGCGGGGTATAAATCCAGTCTCCTCCTCCTCCATTCTTTTTCAAGGTATTAAGTTTATCAAAAATGCTGAATTTATTATGTTTTTCCTGATCAGATTTTTGAAATGTCTTCCCCCAAGAGCAGATTCTGCAGAAGAGTTGCATTAAAACAAACTGAACTTTTTTCTCTTGATGCTTTAAAAAAAGTCACAAACTTAACAGGAGATGGCAAGATCCAATCCATGTTACTATTTATCTTGTTCCGTGTTTAAAATTACTGGGTTGTATCCCGTCAACCTTTTTTGCTAGCATAAGAAGGAACAAGGGTCTCTTGAGTCCCAAAAATGTTTTGCTGGGGATCTTGGAACTTGCATGAATAAAAACAAACAAACAGGTGAGATGGTCTAAAGTGAGGAGCTACATTGTAAAAAATTACCCTTCCTCTCTCTTGATCCTGCTAAAAAACCTGGTAAGATCTAATACACTTTACTTATCAGCATTTCTTGAAGAATGGAGTAGTGGGATTCCTGTCTGTGATGATAATAGGTCATTATAGGCTTGTGAACTGTAGAAACACACACACTAGCACATATCCCAAAGCATCCCTTTTCTGTTTCTTGTTAAGTTTATTTCAGGTATTCCTGAGCTGGATATTATTTGTAGAAGAGAATATGCCTTTTTGTAATTTCTTTTTTATTATTATTTTAAGTACCCGAGAGTACACTTTCATTATTTTTTTCCTTATATACTACAAACATACATACAAACAACACACAACTACCCCCAACAACATATAACAAGAGACTTTTATCACTCCTTCTGCTTATTAAATTTCTAAATTCATTCTCTATTTTACTAAGCTTATCTTTTCTGCGTTCTCAAATTACTACATTTATCCATCAGTTGCGTTTACATTATACCAATCATAGAATCTCTTCCAAGTTTTTTGAAAAGTCCATTCTGTACGGGCTCTCATCTCAAGTGTCAGTTTGTCATTTTCTGCCGTTTCAAATAACTTGTTCACATACTCTTGTTTCGTTGGTATTTCCATTATTTTCCAATATTTGGCATATACTATCCTTGCAGCTGTCGACATATGAACCATCAAATACCTATCTGCTTTATCAAAATCTTTCAGAAATATATTCAATAACAGTATCTCTGGAGTAAATGGGATATTCGTTCTTATTATTTTTTCCATTATCTCATGAATCCATCTCCAATACCTCTTTGTAACATCACATAGCCACCACATGTGATAAAAAGAACCAATCTGATTTTTACATTTCCAGCATTTATCAGAGCAATTAACATTTTGTTTAGCTAATCTATCTGGTGTAATATACTATCTATAAAACACCTTATACATGTTCTCGTTATATGACACAGCATTAGTTAATTTTATATTTTTCAGCCAAATCTGCTCCCACTCTTCTAAATTAAAATTACGGCCTATATTCTGGGCCAGGGTACAAGAATTTCTTAATGTGCATACACACCTAAAGCAAGGCTCTCAATTGCATAGGCAGAGCTGTATATACTTAGATTCCATTCAAGGAGCATATGCAGGGCTGCAGTCACACTGGAGACTTCCTGCAATCTGGGTGCACCTCTAGTTACACCAGTTTAAAGTCTCACAGGGCAGACCAACCAGACAGCACACCCTGGGGTGGATTCCCCACGCGCTTGTCTGGGGGTTCACATTACTGCAACGCCTCAACACGGAGCGCACTGACTGGTCCTTTTTGTTTTAATGCAGGTGGGTGCATGTGCTCACGCACATATAGGCAGCAACTAAAAAAACCTAGTGGTGGAAACAGATCTGTAGGTTCAGACTTCCCTTCTGGGTTCCTTTCGCAGCAGGAGAGTTCAGACATTTGGGAAAGCAGAGTGGAAGTGCTGGCACCCATAAACACCTGACTTTCCCCGGTGCCTGATTACTCCACTTCCAAAGCAGGGCAACACGGGGTGCTGACAACTGGGGCACAGAAAGCAAATGTTGTCATCTGATCATGCTCTTTAAATCTGCAAAGGTAACGCTACTATATCATGGCAAACCACAGCCCAGATCAGGAATGGAGCTTGTCATCCCACTCCTGCCCATGCACTTTCATTCTACATAGGCCTGATTTCAACATGACACTGCAGAACAAATGGACTTAGCTCTCCAACTTTGGATGTGCATAACATCTCAATTAAACTGGGTTGCTCCATGTGCAAATATTAACATACCAATGCAAGAGCCACCTGAGCTATGAGATTTTACATTTTACAAAGATGCATGTGCAGCAGCTGATGGCCTACTGAGCATGTGTAAAATCCCACCAGTCACTTCTTTTATCCCACCAATCTCATATATGGGCTTATGATGAGGGAACAGCCTAACCCGACACCATGGGAGTGCTGTGTTGCTGCAACGCGTATGCATAGTATTAGTGTATGACCACAGGCCTGAGGAAAAAGACTGGCAGTTTGCAGGAATAGGGCTTCTGCTGCAGCCCTGAGTTGAAAGAGAAGAGAGCTCAGAGTATAAACTAGGAAGATGTAAATTGCTATGTATTACCAGATTACTGGATTTGAGTCCAGTAGCACCATAGAGACTAGGGTTGTCAGGTCTTACCTGGCTGTTGGTGGGGTGTGTCTGCCCAGTCTTGGTCTGGGAGACTTCTGGTGCATGTGCAGTAATGACATTGGGTGGGACGCTCTAGCATTTGGGCAAAAAACTCTATGGTCACCATAGAGTTTTTACTCAAATGCAAGAGCGTCCCCTGCACTACATGCCTGGTGTGGTGACATCACCTCTGGGTGGCATCATCGCGCTGGGCATGTTGGGTGGGACGGGGTTCTTTAGGGTGGGGCTCCCCCTGTCAGCCAGCTGGCTGCCGGCAGATTGGGGCCCCCAAAATCAGGGGAACCCCCACCCCCATTGGGGGGATGACAACCCTAATAGAGACCAACAAGATTTCCAGGGTATGAGCTTCTGTGAGTCAATACTCTTTTCATCAGATACCTTTGACTCTCAAAAACACCCTGGGAATCTTGTTGGTCTTTAAGATGCTACTGAACTCAAATCTTGCTCTTCTGCTGCAGAGCAACATGGCCACCCACCTGAAATTATCTGTATTACCAATTCAGCATTAAATTAAAACAGATTTATTTTAATTTTACATACAAGTCGGAAAGTCTGCATAGATTTGTACAGTGCCATCAGCATCCATTTTTATCAGCATTTAGAAATTATAACTACATCCTGTAGAGTGTGAAATTGCAGTGGTATCTAATTAGTTATATTTTATTTGGCTACAAATCAACTGAAACCAATGAGACTTATTCCCAGATCAATACGTTTTGGATCAGGTCGCTGATATGAAATAGAGAGCTGCTTCTGCTTGGGAAAACTGCATTATGAGAGTACTGCTCTCCTTTGGCCTATCTTTTGTGGAGTTGCCTGTGCTTAAAACAAAGTGTATTTGTTCATCATAAATCAGTAGAGTAAAAGAGACGGTACAATCTGTATCTGTAAAGACAGCATTTATTCCGGAGCACTTTAGATACCCTTATGTAAATATTGCCAATGGAGACAGGATGGAGGTAAAATTCCTAGTTGAAAGACACCTAAAGAAAGAGACTGGGTGTGTTGACAGAAGACTACTGTGTTATACTAGTACGCCAGGTTGTCGCAGCAGTCGTGGTGTGGGTGGGACCCGGGCTTTGCCTTCTGATTGGTGGCGATATTTGCTGAGGAGCAGTGCCATCAGCCATACACTAAGGGAGTGCATTTTAGAATTAGAACTTTGGCACCCACTATTCAATTATATATAAGGAGAGATTGTGTGCAAATACTGTACCTATTCTAAGTCACAGGAGCTGCAGGTTGCAATTTACAGCAAGAGATAACTTCAGTGTATTTGAAGTTTATATAATCACCTCAGTAGCTCTAAGGAGGAAAGAAGTAGATCAAAGCAGTCGACAGTTTATTAGGAGTCCAATGTGCAATCAATGAGATTTTCTTCCAAAC